TAGCCAAGAGATATCTAAATGAATAAATAGTATGTTTTAATGAATAAAATATTTGCAACAAATTGAGTTGTTTTAAACGAATTCGCTTTCTATCCGACTGTCCTTTCTATCCGACTGTCCCTTTCTATCCGACTGTCCCTTTAAAGTGACAGCAAAGAGAACTAATGGAAACACTTGTCAGAAGTGAATACAAGTATTAGACGACAGGAGAAGACTATTGTCTCAAATGCCAAACACTAGAAGCGAGTGAATGTCTGCCAATAAATCCAATAAATTTCGAAACGAGAAAATGAGTACTTATTTGATTCTTTAGTTGTCTTATAGTGTTTGCATTACTTTAATGGCAGACCTTATGGTTTGGCGACATATAATTGAAGCAATTGAGCACATCCTCACTCCCTCCACTTACTTTAGTTTGAAAACTATTTGCAGTTAAATTCAATTTTTAATGCAACACATCCTCAGTAGCCTTTAATTACGATTCTTAATACGAATTAAATATAAATTATATGAAATTGTGATAAACTTTGATAAATATAGTATTGTGTGCTGTGTTTGTTGGGAATGATGACCTGGTTATGAGTATAGAGTGTATGGCTGATGAGATGATTAGGTTGTGTTGTGTTATTTCCGTTTCAGGTGACACACCATCTAAATAGTGTTGGCCTCCATCCCTCCATCCCTGGCAGCACTTGGATTGTGTGACATCTCTATGAGATGCGAGTGGAGAGTAATGGCACACAACTGTTTGGCACATTGTGTGAGCACTCATATCTCATAATAGCCCACATGTGTTCTCCGGTTACAATTGATTTACGTTTCCGAACGATGAGGTTTATATACCGTATATTAAAGCAAAGTTAGGCATAAACTGCTACTTTAGCTCAAACCTCAAACAAACTGCTAGTTTACTCGACTACTGGTTCACATGTGCACTACTTGTGCAGCATTCAAATGCAGGTACTCTACAATTACTAGTGATGTAAAACAATAGTGGACTCAATGATCAATGAGAGTCTAATTTATTGGATAGTGTTTGCAGTGAAATTGAATGCATTGGTGAGCGCAGTGATGGCAATGCAGTGATGCAGGTAATTGCCAGTGCCTACCAGTGCGGCACACGTTGCTTGCGATACCCTGAATGCTATACTTACAGGACTGTCAGTTACCACATCTAAGTCGCTGCACCTGCCGTTGACAATGAGATTCCCTCCCTTTAGCTCATATCAAATGGTCATTATTCATACAAATAGGTCCACAAACAGGAGAGCCATAGGGAGACAACTATGGCAACTGATCACTAATAGTACTCACGGATATAGTCTATTGTATTCTCTACTCTAAGACAATAGTAGAGTTGAAGTGACTTTTGCACAGTATGTATAGTATGTATGTAGTGTCTGTCAGTAACACATGTCTCCGCCTTTTCTAATTAATATACGGCTCAATATTTTCTATTTTCTATTTTCTATCGATATTTTGTTTGCCTTTTCCTTCAATACCAACGAATAGAATATAAGGTTTGCTATAAAAGTATTTCTCCAAAAGCACACCATTTCTATGGTTTGGTTGAGGAGCTTCACCGCAATCAGTGAATGCATTTGCGGGCTCCTGACCCCCATTCACACACCCCATCCCCCTATTGTCGTATTATTTTAGTAGTGATTATTGCAAAGTTTATGTCTGTCTCTAACTCTACGACAGGACAGGCAGTGAATGAGCAGAACTGAAGCGAATGTATATCTCTTTGACTCTTTCATCATATAATAGTTATAACAGTTATTGTAGTTATTGTGAAAACTGTCAAATGTAGGGAATGTAGGGTTCCCTCAATCGTGAAAGCAATGCCTCAACACTACATCTTTGTAGAGTACAGTAGAGTAAACGTTGCATACATTTATGATTACTCTCATCAATATATATACATATATAGTGCTAACTCTGTGCACATCTATTTAGAAGTTTGGGAACAAAGTCACTACTGCCTCAGCACTGGCACCGACATCACAGCACTCACTCAAACAAATGTTATTCAATATAAAAGTAACTTTTCATATAAACTACAAAAAAGACACAAAATTTATGATTTCCTCCAACTTTTTCTATTTGAATCGATGCTAATTCTATGAATGCGAACAAATCATTCAGTCCTACACTACAGTCCCTCTTATGTACTGTACATCACTAATGTGTATCGCATTTACTATACATCCAAACCAATAAATGCAGTCAACTCTTCATTCCTATTATAAATTATACACAAAATATTCACTGTTTTATAATAAAACATGAATTTTATATATTTGTCGGCTATTAATGTATTTATTAGTAGAAAAAATATTTCAAAAATTTAATTTATTCAGAATATTATGCTCATGCTTTGAATATATCAAGAATTTAAGTCATAATCCATTTCCATCATACTTTGACGGACTTAACAAAAGCCAACAAATTTTTATTGTCTTTGTATTAAATACAATACCTAATATGTGATAATACAGTGCTATATATTGCATACGATTGTTATGTTTGAATGAAATGAACGATTAATTTATAGCTATTATACTCTATTAATAAGATTGTCTTTTCAGTTGAATATAAATTTCTTTTGCAAAACATGACTGCAATATATGATATAATTTATAAATATATATAACTTTATGAGCGGTCAATGGGCTTTGATTGATGGCTTCAATAATATAGACTCTCTCTATGAGATGCCTGTCCTCAGTGTTGGAAAGGCTTTCATGGAAACAGAGCTCAACTTTACGATCGAAAGGTAGAGAATGGTATAAATTGCATGAAATGTGATATCTTTATGATAGGAGTTATGCTTTGCTTTATTGCTTTATATGCATCTCATCTCAGCAAAGGTGATGTAAGGCTATGCTCCGCGTGCTGCCTTATGTAAGGAATATACAGCACAGTATGTATTTAGATAGATATGGTAGCCCTGAGCCGCACAGTGCAAGGTGTAAGTGCTGCTACAGTGCCGTACACAGCACTGTAAGCACTGTACGCACTGTTATTCTATTGACAATAAGTAGCAGCTGTGCTCTTAAGGTGGAAAATACGGGTGCATTAAACGGCTATATTTTATCGACCCATTTAGTGAACTGTTCTTGTTATACTGTATATGTTATAAGTTTTATATAATATAGACTTAATATATATATTGTAAGTTATATACCGTGTATTGTTCTCTACATGCATTGCGCTATTTTTCGGTTTAATATTATATATTATATCAATATATTGAGCGTTAGATGAGTTGAGATGTGATTTTACGCAACCATTGAATTAAAAGTGAAACAATAGAGAAATGTTTCTTAAAATATGAGCAAAAGGTTTGTTTTGAGAATTGATTTGCTCACTAGTACTGTATATAAGTATATCACTGTATGACAGAGAGAGAGAGAGAGAGAGAGAGAGAGAGAGANTTTTTTGTAGTTTATATGAAAAGTTACTTTTATATTGAATAACATTTGTTTGAGTGAGTGCTGTGATGTCGGTGCCAGAGCTGTTGGAAAGACTAAGCCAATCACGTACTCATACATTGGTGACCAACGCTCTCACGAGGACTTCACATCAAATTAATCCCATCTTTTCCTTCGCTCTTCCGTTGGTTTTGCTTTTATTTAAATTATAATCCAGTCATACATGAAATGTTTACCCAAAATGCTGAATAACTTCTGATCCATTGATTAAATGTGAAATTTATTTTTTATATTAATAACTTATAAATGAATTTCAATTAAATTGTATTGTTTTTAAGGCACATTTTAATTATTTATAGTTTATTGTGTGTTCACTCATACTGTATGGCTATTTGGCTGCCTTTTTATTAAACGACTATATTTTTGAGTTTTCAAAGTGATTTAATATTTTATGACTTAAGAAATAAATATATTTATATTTCAAATCGTTTTCCACGATTTCTCACCACTGCTTATAAATAATAACGATTTGTCTTTAAATATCTTTAACCCATTTGGTCACTAACTGTGGTCTTTGAGGGTGTGTTGGCTTCTGATAGCGAGTCTCATATCCTTTAATTTGATGTCTAAAATGTTTTTCGTATAAGAATTTAAATAAATCTTGATTTAGTTTCATTTTGAAACCAAAGTGAGGGTCACTTTACTCTTATATTAGTATTTATTACTGATAACAAATATAAAGTGCACGAAATAACATTTGTAACAAATCCAACTTTCCTAAATAAAATGTTGGTGCTATATATTTATTGGTTTAAAATTTTTATTTTATACTCAACTTTAATGAAATATATTAAAATGTTCAATCAAAATTCAATTTAAGTTAATCCTGCAATTTAATGGTTGATAAATATTAATAACACTCATTCAATTTAATAATGTTGAAATTTGTTTAAAATTATTTTTAACAAAAGGTGTGCCTATGAATAAATAATTTTAGAAATATCATTTACCATATAATATTTTATAATAAGATTTCTTTTATGTATTATGTCTTAAATAATGTATTAAACAAACTGTTTAAAGAAGTTTTTATTATGCACAATTTTTACCAAGGTATTTTAATATAATTTTTGGGTGACAAGTAGATGAGGATAATGGTTTAATTTAACACACCTACTGAATTTTAAGTTTAAATTCTGTAATTTATTAGAATACAGCGATTATTAAAATAAATTTTTAAATCATCCTGGAAATAAATTATTTAATTGTCATTGTGACATTGTATCAAATAATTATTTCAAGTATTCATTGATTATATTATTACTGACTTGTGAGTGTTTTTACAGTAAAGTAAAACTCAAGCATTTTTATAAGTTTAAAAAATAATTTGCAATAACTTATTGAAGAGTCCTTGATGCTTCCCATAAACAATATTTTTATTTGAATTTGAATTAAATGATGAATTGGAAACAATCTCAAATATTTATTAGGAAAATATAGAGATGGTATTTAGAAAATGTATTAAATTATATTTACTATGAACGATCAAGAATTCTAATTTTAATGTCTAGTTTGGTGTAAATAATGAAATCATTTTATGATACTTAATGGTTTATTTGTACAAGTAATTTATTTTAAGTACAATTATTGTGAAAGAATATTTAAAAATTGATGACAAAATACACATCATATCATATACTTTAATGTTTGATGCGATTCTTATATTAGAAATATTTTTGGATTTGTTTTTGAGTTGAATCTCGATTTATACAAAGAATTACAACATTTTCAATATATTTGGTTTAAGTCTATGAGTTTGACATTTGATGAATTGTTTTATTTATTTATTTTTTATCAATATATACAAGAATTTATATGATATTTGAATTTTATTTTTCGGATACATTTATTCTTTTCAATAAAAATCTCTTTCATATGAAAGCAAACATTTATTGTAAATATTAGATGAGAATTTAAATAATTAGTTTTGTTTTAGTTATGATTAGTTAAGTTGTACTCAAATGACAGTTAGGTTTGGTTTGAGTTGTGTATCAGTTTTATGTGTGTTATAAAGAAATCTTTTGGCATTTCTTTTTTAATCATACGTTATTCTCTTGAGATGCTTCACAACCGCATCCCTGTCCCTTTGCATTGACAACTTGGATGATAGATAACGGCGCCGGGGCCTCAGAGACAAGTGCGGCAATTTGTTGTATACTACAGAATACTACAGAATTACTACAGAATCGATTGCAATTGCAATTCATATAAGATATAGAGATAGAGACAGAATTGCATTTCTCAGACCCATATAATTCTCTCTCCTTTTGCCATACATTTCATTTCGATTGGCTGTCTGTCAGACTCATTGAGATGCCTGACCTCTCAGTCCTCCACGCACTGCACACTCATATTTCTCATCACATCTTAACCAAAACAAAGACTAATAGTTTTTGTTTGCATTCATATTACAGACGAAACCACAGCTCCACTCAATGTCCTTCACGCCCGGTGTCCGCACTGCGGGAGGATATTCCGCGGCCAGCGGTCATCCCTTTCCCTTCAGGAGCACATCAGCAGCATTCATGCAGTCGTAGTCCCCTCTTCCAAGTCCAATATGGCATCCTCTCCATCCGCCTCCCATTCCTCCGATGCATTGGTCGGCCCCACACATAACGATAGGACCTTTGTTTGCTCTCAATGTAAGGCATCGTTTGCACAAAGAGATCAGTTGGAGAAACACGAGTTAATCCACTCATCACAGGGACAGGTGAGCTGTAGTTCCTTATTTGACTTCACTATTCCTTAAGCCTTAACACAATCACTATTACTAACCTCTTCTCACCATTCAATGCATTCTAACCTTAGATTCAGTTGTTTAAAGAATTTAACTTATATTAAACACACTTATAATAAAAATATGTTAAATTCTAGTAAATGAGATGATTTTAAGTAGAATACAGTATAAGTTCTTATGAAAGTAAACCGAAAGTATAAGATAGGAGAGGGTCTACCCCATGCCTACGATGATTGCATGCAATTAGGTGTGAGTGGTTGTCAGTCTATCTCTGCCCGTAAGAGCCTAGTGTGTGGTGTCTCACTGTCTCACTGTCTGCATGTATGCCTCTGCATCTCCTTCTGTCTCTATCATCTCTGCCAGTATTGCCTTCTGTGCAATAAAAGCTTTGCCAACGTATACCGTCTACAGCGCCATATGCTCAGCCATGACGAGAGTCAAGTGCTCCGGAAGTTCAAGTGTCCCGAATGTTTCAAAGCCTTCAAGTTTAAGGTATGGGTACTAGTGCCGCATCTCAGCTCAACTACTAACCCCTCTATCATTGTCTCATATCTAGCATCACCTCAAAGAACACATCCGAATACACAGCGGGGAGAAACCGTTCGCGTGTCCTAATTGTGCCAAACGCTTCTCACACTCGGGATCCTATTCCTCTCACATGACAAGCAAGAAGTGCCTCGTCGTCAACTTGAAAGTACGCTACTTTCCTACCTAACTGTCCACTCGTATCCGTGTTTTGTATTTAATTTGGATACTATTTTCCATTTAAAGGTCAGAAAAGTAGATCAAATTCGGGGTCAAAGGAATAGAAACAATCATTTGAACACAAATGGTGGCACCGCTAATGGTGTGCCACCGCAGACATGTCTTACCAAATTGGATCTGTTGGCCAATATTTCTGACACTCAAACCAATTTGAAGATATCCTCGAATAACTCGAACTACAAAAAGGATTTTGACATTTCTTCCAATCGAAACCATTCAGTATTGAAAGCCGAGTCCAACGACCACTTCGCGCCTTTATATCTCAACTCAGATCTGAACCGATGTATCCCAGAGAGCGCATCGTTTGTCAACTACGTGCCAACCAATTACTCGTCGGGAATGCCGGCCCTCCATCCGGTGCTCTTCTCAGCCGCCGCCGCTTCTGTTGGTTTACCGACTCATTACTTATCGACTGCGCTCTCGAGTTATCCGGAAGTGGCCAACGCTATCCTCAGATCACAGATGAATAAATCGGTTAAAGAGCTTGAGTTAAGTCGAGACAAGTATTCAGTGAATTGTCATAATAATAAGAAAAGCGATTCAATGAAAGTGTCGGACAAAAGCCTTTTAGAGAACTATGACTTGAATTCTGTGAAGAAAATCCTGCAAATCGTTGACTCGACGGTCGACACTCGGACCCGATCGGAATCCGTGAATTCAATGAATGGCTCGTATGGAGAGATTCGGTCATCAAACCCGTCGCCATTGACATCACTCTCTGTGTCATCACTACCTCTGCCACAAATCACACCAATCGACTCACCCGACGATCTGAAGAAATCGTTACCCAATTCTCACGTGTATATGAGATGTCGTTATTGTAATGAATATTTTGAAAACAAAATAGATTTATATCAACACGAGATCCATGTCTGCAAAAGTCGTGTCTCTCTAAGCGATAAATCTTGCAATGAGTTCAACAAAGATATTAATTGTAATAACATCTCAAATGCTGTCAATTCAAGTGCTGCGGAAAGTGATGACGAATCCCAACGAGACTCGTCTTCCATGGAAGAGGAGGTCATGACAACTGACGGCAAGAAAGTGAGGGTTCGCTCTGTTCTCGGGGAACAAACTCTGAAAATATTGAGAACTCAATACGAGGCGAATCCCAAACCTAAGAAACACGACATTCTTAGGTTGGCTCAAGAAGTCAATTACGCCCCGCGTGTGGTTCAGGTCTGGTTCCAGAATATGAGGTGAGATTTGAACAGGCATTTCATGGTTATTCAGTTGTTTAACTAATGTTATCCTCATTTTTTCAATACAGAGCTCGCGATAGACGACTCGGCAAACCGATTCCATCGCATCATATTTCTAGTGAATTCAATGCAAACAATCCAAGAGTTATGACTTCTTTCTCGCCGTCACTCCATTCGACACCGCATTCCGTGTCCAACCCATTGATGCCGATATCCATTCCTCACTACAAACCGGCCTCTAATATACCGGAAAACATGTCGTTCTCCCCCACCATTACATCCTATGCTCCAGACATCAATGGTTTGACACATTATGGACAACGAATTCCCAACAATACTGTTTATTATCTCAATTCTAATGAACTACCAATTAATCCTTCATTAAAGTCCAATTTGAATAAGTCGTTCAGCAATCGATCCAATAATCTCACTGAAGAGCCCTTAGACCTATCCATCAGAAGTAAGCCATTAAATGAAGAATTTGCTAATAATTCAGAATCTGATGAGAAATACAATTCAATAGAAGTGTTGAATTTAAGCCAAAAGTCGAGCAGAAGTCAGACTAACGATATCTCTGACGATGAGATACCGAGTAATGTGTCGCTGACTCTCATTCAACAACAAAAGGAGTTACAAGAGTTGGAACAGACATCCATTGTTCGGTCAATGCTTACTCGTAAATGTCATTCACAGGAGTCGGACATGAATTCAGTTAACGGAACGGCTATGCAATCAACTGATCGAATGAGCCGATGCTCGCCAACCAATTCAGACGAGTCTAAAGAGACGACTCGACAACCATTGAAACGCTGCAACTCTGACTGTGAAGACGTTGAATCTCAAAGTGATGGTCATCTTCCAAACGACGACTACCTGTCCAACAGTTCTCTTACAAGAAATAAACACATGATTACTCCGCCATCAAAGTTATGGAAAGGTCCGACAGATAATGTGATTAATTGTGACGATCAAAGTCCACCACCAGATGCTAATTCACAAGCGGAAGGTATGGGACTCTTTACCTGTGATCAGTGCGATAAGACTTTCAGCAAACAGAGCTCTCTGGCCAGACATAAGTACGAACACTCAGGTATGTATCATGTATAGCGTAATTGACATAATTGACACTGGTACATGTATGATAATGGATGTGTGTGTGTGATGGACAGGTCAAAGGCCACACAAATGTGATGTCTGCAGCAAAGCATTTAAGCACAAACACCACTTGACTGAACACAAGCGACTTCATAGCGGAGAAAAGGTATTCATTAGTTGTGATTGAATGCAATCTATTGAATAATAGCCACTAATGAGACCTAATAGTGCTCTGATTGGCAATTGTAAGGTATGAACAGAACTAATTAGTTTTGCTATTTCTCATTCATAGCCATTTCAATGCAAGAAATGTCTGAAGAGGTTCTCGCACTCCGGATCATATTCACAACATATGAATCATAGGTATTCATACTGTAAGCCATACAGAGAATGAGTTGAATACATCGGCAACTGTTCACTTGAAAGTCAAATCGGAAACAATACGTCCAATAAGTTAAAGCCAACCAAACTTTTTGCAAAAGCCATTCATTATATGCATCGTTCAATTGGTTTGCATTGATTTCATGCCAATCTCTGCAACAATTACTCATCACTTCATTAAGTATTTCATCCTAAAGTTATTGTCTATTCATATAAATATAAAATAATGGCCAAAATCTCGATGTTATTACTCATTGTTATAACAGTTTAGTGCAAACCATAGGTTTCAAATCAACGATAAGTATTTCTATTTTCAATTAATTCATGATATGTTCTCTAAAACAAAGTTTTATCTAATTGTAAGACAAAACTGTTAGCAATTTCTCGAAAATTAGTTATGGACTGCTAGTCATTCAACTATAATATAAAATATATTCAAATATTAATCCATTTATTGATATAAAAATGGAGAAAAGGTATTCATTAGTTGTGATTGAATGCAATCTATTGAATAATAGCCACTAATGAGACCTAATAGTGCTCTGATTGGCAATTGTAAGGTATGAACAGAACTAATTAGTTTTGCTATTTCTCTTTGATAGCCATTTCAATGCAAGAAATGTCTGAAGAGGTTCTCGCACTCCGGATCATATTCGCAACATATGAATCATAGGTATTCATACTGTAAGCCATACAGAGAATGAGTTGAAGACATCGGCAACTGTTCACTTGAAAGTCAAATCGGAAACAATACGTCCAATAAGTTAAAGCCAACCAAACTTTTGCAAAAGCCATTCATTATATGCATCATTCAATTGGTTTGCATTGATTTCATGCCAATCTCTGCAACAATTACTCATCACTTCATTAAGTATTTCATCCTCAAGTTATTGTCTATTCATATAAATATAAAATAATGGCCAAAATCTCGATGTTATTACTCATTGTTATAACAGTTTAGTGCAAACCATAGGTTTCAAATCAACGATAAGTATTTCTATTTTCAATGAATTCATTATATGTTCTCTGAAACAAAGTTTTATCTAATTGTAAGACAAAACTGTTAGCAATTTCTCGAAAATTAGTTATGGACTGCTAGTCATTCAACTATAATATAAAATATATTCAAATATTAATCCATTTATTGATATAAAAACAAATTGATTATCGATTGTTATGACGAGTTGCACAAAACGGTAGTCCCTCAGAGACCATAACACCTATGATATGGTTAGAGACGGTGTGAAACTGTGCCAAACATTGATCCAAAGACAAGTGCAGTCAAAGATAAGTGCATTCTTGACGATCATTATATACGAAATTATAATTATATTATTATTGCTTACATTTTAGACACTAGTCTCAACAAAGTTATTCATATTTCTTTATATAAACCAAAAACATATTGATTTACAAATTTCTTAATATTTAGAAGTAGTTTCTTTGCTAAGAGTGCTCTGAACTATATTTTTTATATTATTTGTGTCATATCTCTGGTGCTATTATTTAGATTTCTTGTCCTAAAGTTAATTTGATCTCAAATTCAAATTACGAAACAATTCAATCAAATTAATAAAAATATACTAGTTTTCAAAAATTGATTCAAAAACCAAAGTAATGAACAAATTCTGGTCAAAAAGAGTTAAAAATCAGAAAACACTATAATAAGTGTTGAGATTATAAATCAAAACTCAAATTGTTTTTCAGGGAAATCTAAATATATGGACAGTTATGACACAAATAATTCTTAAGTTGTTTTTTGACAAAATTGTGACATAAACTAGTGTTTGGGAAATATTTGTCAATTCTTGAAAACTTCTCTGGAAAGCGATTCATGAATTTAAAACATAACTAATACTTATGTATTACTATTATCTCTGCAATAGTCTATGATATTTGTAGTAAAGGTAAGGCGGGCTTCAGTTTGTCTTAATTGAGTGAACAACTAGTCGTCCCCAATGTATGTATAGATGAGTTGATCTGCTTTTTCTCATTCATGTCATTACTGATAGCAACGAACAAAGAGGTGCTCTTTATTTAGTATAAAATTAATATTCAATTTATATATTCATATAAATAGCTTTAATCGAGAAGAGCTCAAACTTTTTCTTGAAAATTGAAAAATAGTTTCATTTGATTTTGAGTTTGACTTTCAATAACGAAATATTTAGTGAATGTCCTATCGCTGGGAAAATCTGCAATTTTACGCATAAGTCAGTCAAATATGAAATAATTTTGAAGTTCGTCTAAAAACTGTATTTAAGAGATGAACACATTTTATAATATAATGTAAATTAGAAAATATATTTAATGAATCTTTTTATGATTAGTTCCTTTGAATCTACTTTTGATTATAATATAAGCCAAAGAATGAATGAAACGAATGCACACAATGCGTACAATTTGTTGATATATATTATATTATATAATATATTGCCATTTATATATTATTATATATATAATGCCAAATACTGGTGATCTGATTCATCATTTACTCTATTATTTTCTATTCAAATAATTATTGCCAAATAAATGATATAATTATTATTGAGAAAAGAGTTATTTTTCAAATACGATATGAATATTGATTTTTGAATCTCTTTTGTTGAATACTCCGTTCACTTCTAATAAATACTCTACAAAAATGATTTGAATTTTTGCATTATTTTAGCCTATTTTAGCCATTATGTACTAAATTTGTAAAAACAATTGATTTGTGAAAATTTGAATATTTCTCTGAATATACAGAATAAGTATAAGAATTAGTAAAACACTGTCCGATAAACTCATATACAGTTAGTACCAAAAATGACAATTTTGGCGCAAATGTTATTAGTTTTCTAAATATTATGATAAAATATGACATAAGAAATATTCAAATTTACTAAAACACATTGAAATGAATATAACTCTTAAGTTAAAACTGAATTTGTATTTGTAATTTGGTTTTTGATTTGAAAATAATTTAGTTTTTTTAAATTCATAATATTTGTATCAATCTTTGAAATTGTCATTTGTTATATAAATACAATCTCATACTATTATTGTATACCTTTATTCAGAAAACATTCATATATTGTTTGAAATGATCTTATATTTGATTGTATTTTAATTTCTTAAGAATTGTTTTAAACGAAAGATTATTTCGTCGAAAAAATATTTTAATTTTTAATAATAATATAATTCTCAATTCAATTGTACGTATAATTTAAATACATTTTTTACTACTATTATTGTATAACTAAATGAATAATTATTGTTGAAAACATAACAAAAATGTGCGCTAATTGTGCCAAAATTATATGTAAAATAAACTAAAAGGTGCCAAAAATATAGCCTTTTCTGTCAACTTTGACCTCAATGTTGGCGACGCGCTGTTAAGTAGTTTTGCTTTTCATTATAATTATAAATA